TATTTGTACATTTTGAGTATACAGTGTTGACCTCATTTCGCAACGTACGGGGTCCCACCTGCCCCCACGTTCAACTTACTTGGGGTGCTCGGGGTTGATGAACTTAATATTGATACCATCATACACACATAACTAGGGTAAAATGTACTGGAAATTTCTATAAAAATAGTATCTACTAATGATTTAATCAGTCTAAATTTAATGCCTAGAAACATTTCACAACTAATAAGCCGACGATTTTTATCGAAAAACAAAGATTTTATTTGTAAGCTTGCTATCATTGTAATTAATATGTATTATGAAGGTTTTACCGTTTATGTCTAATGTTAGATCAAGCAAGAAACGTTTCCGTAGCAGTCTTACATCTTATCTAAAGTGTCGTAACTTAACAAACAATCGTTATCTATCCAAAGTTTAACGTGCGATATGTAAAATATGTAGAAGGAGTGTATTACTTATACAGTGCGTATACTGGTTAACATCATAAATTTATTATCATTGGAAAAATATATAGTTTCTTTTAATCATAGTGGTCCGTGAAATTGTCTATAATTACGCAAGTACTACGAAACTTTATGCCTGCCAAAATAACGACTGAACGACGAAGAAGGCAGCAAGACTACTGTTAAAAGTAAGAAGAAGGCTTACACTTCTTATTTTTTTAGCTTCCATATCTACATTGAACTTATTTAAATAGTTACTAAATGGTAGGTTAGTAATCTATATATATAAAAGGAAAGTGGTCTTCGTTTGAGGCTCCTTCACGCCTAAACCACTGATCGACATGAAACTACCACCATTCATGCGAAATTTTTTAGATGGTTTATGGCTATTTATTTATTAAATTCCACGTTCCTTATTTTTTTATTGCTTTTTACTTTTATGAAAATTTATCCATACGGACTTCACCGCGGAAACATTGGGAGCTTCCTAAACCTCTAAACGTCAACATCTGTTAAAACTCATTTTCGAAATATTTCAATTTTTTAGGGGAATTAAAAAAAATAATAAAAATATGAAAAAAAAAAAAATAATAAACATAAAATTTATTTTAATTTCAAAGCGGGCGCGAAACGGCTAGTAAGCTCATAAAGACAACAACTTTATTATAATTTAAGTTTAACGTTGATAAAATTTTATTCTTAAGCTATTGAATAAAATTGTAAAAAATAATTTAAATGTATGTGTGGAATGTGGATTTTATTTGTTCGCATTTTGTTACAGAGTTTTAGATTTAATTTAAATAATACATACTTGAGGTCACAAATTAAACTAAATATTTCGAAACCGCGTCTTTCGGTATGTAAAAGTTTAGAGCGTAATAATTCAAAGTTAAGATAGTAAAAATTAATATATTGTATACCGTAGTCTGGATTTGTTTTAAGTAAATTGGGCTGTTTTAATATTCTTTTAGCCGTTTGACTTTATACATCATGCACTGTGGACATTTGGCTCAAATGTGGAGCTTTAATACTAAGTTGAAAGCTTTTCGTAATTCACAAACATCTAAGCTGTCCTATTTCTCCAGTCAGTCAAAATATGCTTGTGAATGAAGTTAGAAAATATATGCTTATTGCTAATGTAGGACACGAGAAAATAACAACTTGTGGCTTTGGTTCCAATGAAGGAATATATTTGAGAATTTAATAATAGTGTAGAAGAAAATAACTTCTTAACAAAGCTTATAATAACAAGTTCATAAAGTTTATGATAGGATTTTGTTCAATGAATCATCGATAAATACATCAATATTCGATTGTAATATTTTTGTGGGACCTTGGCCGAAAGATAAGTGCCAGAAACACTTCTCTAGTCGTTAACATATCGTAAATCTAATATCGTCGCCTCGTAAATTTAATTCTATATCAAATAGTTGAGCTTCAAATAAAAATAACAGTGAACTATTTATTTCCTTTGAGGCTGGTCGGATTAAATTCAATGCCGCTACCGTCAGATCCTAAACATAAACACGTATCAGAAGCACAGTCATCGTTTGAATGCATAAATAAAATTATAAATATTGTATGGATTTTCTATTCTCGCAATAAAGGTCAGAGTTACATCTCAAGTCGATATATGCAGCTAAATTTAAATTCCATTGTGCTTCAGGCACTAAAGGGAAGGTACATATGGTTAATATGACTGCCTTATTAGGCGTTAACAGTAACAGAAATTTAGTAACGATTTGAATAACTTCACAATATCCAGTCCGAAGAAGAAAGATCTTCCACTGATTCGTTTGAGTCACACTGATGACAATGAGTTACACTATTGTTTAGAAACCTTTTTATTTAGTTACTAGTGGACCCCACAGACGTTGTCCTGCATGATATTTAAAGCGATTAGGATATTAAGCAAAGTATGAAAGTACCGACTGCAGTGCCATCTGTGATTTGTGAATCTAAACCATTCCCAATCCTTAACACACAAAAAAATTTCATCAAAATATTTTAGGAGGAGTTCAGTCACAACACAGAAAAAAATATATATATTATCAAAAACTCTTCTATCAGACATATATGGGTAAGTTTCTTGGCTTGTTTTTCTCATACTACGTTCTCTAACATGCGTAAACACTCGCGATTATGTAATTGAAAAGAAAATGGCTTGATAAACAGACTTACACAGTGGCTTTGAAATATGACATGACTTCGTTCAACAGTTTTCTAAAATCTTTAATAGCTTTTCCTATAACAGAAACCGTTGGAGGTGCAATACGTGAAACCCTCTCGCGACTAAAAATTCGTGAGCGGACTGCTAATCGCTCATTATCCTTGAATCGTATGTCATTCGACGCACCCAATGCAATGCTCTTTGTCTGTACTTTGACTGGATAGTTCAAAGTCGAGTTTATAGCACATATTTAATAATTTTAAATATAAAATGCGCAAGATCTTGTAAGAGAGTAATTGGAGACATGCCAATAAAATGTATGTTTTGGTAATCACGAATAAACAGCTAGGCACTATATATTGATATGCTTTATTAATCTTTATATTTATTATTAATGCAAAAAGCGCTTTATATGTATAAGATTTAGATTTATTTTTCAGTGATGTTTTATGAGAAAGGAAAATTAACTGCCCTAACGTGCTTCAAGTTGCAAGACTGAACCTTTAAATGAGCACTAACTATTTTAACAACTTACAATTTGTATATAAACTTTAAAAACCTAAAAGAAACAATCACTAAAATACTGCACTGCAATTTCGTAACAGGTGCGGTCTGTAGTGCAGACATAACGATCCATGGATGATTTAACTTATTAGCATTCAATGAGTTAACTGAATTATTGGACGCTACACAATTGCAACTCTACTGCGGAAAGCTTTAGATTATTTTAGCTCATGATTGGCCAATTGTGCTTATTCTAATATAAGGCTAGCAATGTTTACTGTTGCGGCAAAATACATTTTTTAAATTAGTTGTTAATCAGTCGTGTGTAAAAACAATTTACGTGTGGGTTATGCCTGGAAGAAACTGCTTTTGGAATAAGACCGCCCTTTTACATCCATAGTATTTTATATTTTTACTTGTTTCTATGGTAATTAAAGTGTTTATTATTATTAGCAATATTATTACACTTGTATGAATAGATAAATTTAAATATTTTTCACCGTTTAGGTGGATTAGGCTGATTTTAGCCTAACACGGAGGCGTATATACAGAGTTTGCAGTTACTTTAACCGTTAAGTAATTTAAAGTATCAAAATAAAGATTGTCTTTCATTTAGACGCTGTAAAAGTTATTTCAATGTCTTTCACTTGTCTGTTCTTCAATTAATTAGTCCTATTCACTTAGACTTCGTCTTTATACACACCTTAGCTAATCTACCATTAAATTCACTGACTGCGGCTGTAATAGCATTTGCCTTAAGTAACTCAATATTAGAATAAAAACGTCAAGTTAATTTAAAATAGTCAAAGACCGGTGTAATCTAACATTACTTAAGTTACAAATATATATATTTATTTTTGTTAACAATTAAAAGCGTAAACAAAATGTAAACAATCATCGCACACTTGAAGCCAATAGAAGCTCTTTAGTTTTTACCACACTTATAAATTGTAATTTAACATTCTCGTTTCGTCCAATAATATAAGTGTCTCATAGATTTATGAACTCTTCAATAACTCAAGTTAGTTTTTTGTTAATCTAGCGTCGCAACCCCACTACCCTAATGTTATCTTAGTTATAAGCTCATGTTTTAAACAATGTTACCCAGCTTCAAACAAAGGTTTTCATTTAACACATATTTGAACATATCCATACAATAACCTCCACCGAACTTAATTCCGGACGAAACTTAAACTTTTACTACATGTGAACAATTTTAAATCAACAAATAAGAGCGAGCTTTAGGCCTTAATATACATTCATCATAATTAACTATCGACTTCCAGTTATGTATTGTATAACATTGTTATGTCTTGTGTTACCTGAACACACCCGATCGCCTTATCGAGGTCAATAGAAATTTAACACCATCTATGAAAGATTAATAACGGAAAACAACCTTCCTTATTTCGATGAATCACTAAACTGTGGAGCTAACCGGATCAGCTTCAAATGTTTTTAATAGTACTGAAATTTTAAATAATGTGGTTTTTCTAAAGCTTCTTAGCAACTGCCACACTAAAAATTATTCTGGAGACCTCAGTCTCCTTGCAAAGGTTACTCAATACGTCGGTAACAAATTGTAAAACGTATTATTGCAATGTTTTGTGACGTTTCTTTAGTACCTTGTTGTGTCTGTTTGAAGCTAATTACTGCTTAGGCTTTAGCTAATCTAGCTTGGAATGTCTGGAACTGCTCTTAGCAGAAATACTTTTATTAATATTTGTGTTTGTGATGCAAATAAATATTATAGTATCCGCTAGTCGAAATCGATAGTAATATAGTTAGCATGTAACATTTTTATAAGTCATACTCGTACCTCCGCCCTTCAAGTATGTATTCTATTTCAGTGTCGCTAAGAATCAATAGTGGAGTGCGATGGGATGCAAGGGTCCACAGCATGGCTTCTGCGCGCCCTCCTACTCGCTGCGTTGGCGGTGGCGGGCGCTGACGTCATCTTTCGAGTTCCAACTGTCATGGTAGGTACCTATGCAAGTGTAAGAAACATTGTGAACATTTTTGAAAGTAACCCAGTATTCTAACGATATATAAAAGAGATTAGGAACAAATAAGAAATTAATTCATAATTATTTTATTTATTAATATAGATTACTAATTAAACAAGCAAGATATTGCTAGAACGATATTGTTTTCGTGAAAGTACGAGTTTATTTTTGTATTATTTTAGATTAAGGTTGGTGATTCTATATTTTTATTTTATTTTATAAGATTTGTTTATACACTTCTGGCACTTTACCCAGCATATTTTTAGTTTTCCTTACTAGGGTAGCCTGGAAGAGATCGCTTGTTAACGATATGGCCGTCTGTTGCATCTCTTATAATTTTTATGTATATTATGTTTTTCTATAAATTTAACGAAGTGTACATAAATAAAAATAAAGTAATAGTATAAGGTATTTTTATATAGTATTAAAATTATATTCTTGTACCCTTCAGCTTCTCACTAAGTTACTATAGGTGAAATATTTTATTACGCCAGGTACACCCAATATCAGTGCAGAAGCGTGTGGGTATAGAGTCCGGCAATGACAGTAAGGCAAACGACACCGAGGCGTGGGCGGAAAGCGAAGTGGAAGTGACTTACGAGGAGTACTTCGTAGAACATGACGTCTCTACAGCTGACGCACGCGCCGCTGCTATCGCCCTACGGCTGGAAGATAGTACGTATAACCCAAGGAATATGAAACGTTTAACAATGATTAAGCTTCATTTATTTCTTGAAACATTTACAAAATATACACACTTTAAATAAATAAATGTTAATATTTTTTTCAAGGACCTCTTAAGGCCTCCTCCTATTGGCTCCATCTCTGTTTGTCATGAGCATTTTGCTCCCAATCTTCTCCACCAACATCCTTAAGCTCGTCACGCCACTGTGCAAGAGGGTGACCTCTCTTTCTTTTTCATGGTGGCCCTTCCCCCTTCCCCCCCCCCTTCACTTTGTTACCCTCTTTGACCATCTGCCATTGTTCATGAGAGTGGCATGGCCCGCCCATTTCCATTTAAATTTTCTGCCATGGGATAGTGCATGAATAACTTTTGTTTTATTTCTTATTTCTGTACTTCTGATCTTGTCCTTTAGTTTTAAATTGAGTTCACTACGTACACTCAAATTATAAGAAATTAAAATATGATTGATAATAATACATTTGGGACCTTCACTTCTGAAAAAAGTATTTACAGATATAGTTTAACACAATTACTAAGTAAAACGACTTATCGACTGATCGCTTATTATGTAGTACTTACGTAATTGATCATAAAAAATATATAGTATAAACATTTTAATATCAAAAGATTCGGTTTTCTAATTCATCTATTTAAAACGAAACACAGTGATGACTCAGTGAATAAATTGAGCGTTTTTAATTGGCGTTAAAAGCGAATTTTAATTAAAGCTTGGTATCACTCATTCGCCAGTACTTCTCGTAGTGTAAGTACTATCAAATGTTCCTAGATTTAAGTCAATTGCACGACTTCCACAACACAAAACGATATTTGTCTGAAAATTCTTACAAAAAATTACTATTCTCTATTCTCTATTACGAGTTAAAAACATTGATATGTACAGGCATACTTCTACTTAATAGATGAGTAGGGATTGTGTAGTATCACAATTAGCTGCATTAGGTATGTGCAATAGCGAGCTGGCTAATTGTCTTAATTCGTGGTGACAATGCGCACGCCAACAACAATTATGTGTCATCTATGTATCACGTAGAAACCGCGTATCGGTACATTTATTTAGCAAACAATCATTTTTTTATATGGAACAGGGAGCAAAGGGGCAGAAGGCTGTGTTGTTAAGTGTGCCCATGGACACTGCCAGAAGGCGAAAGTGCATTGCCGGCATATTAATTGTGATTGTTAAGAAAGGTAAAAGCCATACACACATAAAAAGGAATAATAAATACTTTAGTTTAAAATTTGGGGAAAATGTAATTTCATTCCATTTCACGATTACATTGTTGTATTTGTTGTTTTGTTATATTCAATGCATTTGATTAATAATAGTATCTTTGTTTGTTAGTTGAAGTCTTCAGTAAGTCTTTTGTATAGTACTCGACATAGTAAGTAACGCGCGTTAATCGTGTATGTGTTTATGAAATGGAAAAATGTATTTGAAAAAGTTACTTCAAATGTTATTTTCTTATTTGGAAAATGAAAATGAGTTTTTATGTACCGTGGCACCTTTGTATTCGAACTCAACCCCGCGTCCTAGTTCAAAGCAATAAAATTAATGAGGGCAGTGGTGTAAGCGAAATTTATTAGATTAGAGAAACCCCTTTATAATCTTCATTATTAATTAAACTATTCATTTTGTTTCAATTGACAATTTGAAAATCTAAAAATATATTCTTGCTGTTAAATTTTAGAGTTGGCTCCAATATAAATGGCGTTTATCCAAATAAATGAAAAAGCTTTTATTACACAAAAAAATCAAATATCAATTAATATAGCAATGCAATAACAATAATCGATTTATTTATTTACACTTTATTACCTTATACAAAAACATACATATAAAAAAAGCAGGTTACATAAGTTTTAAGGCAACGGGCGGTCTTATCACTAACAAGCGATTTCTTCCAGGCAGCCCTAATATGGAACAATAAAAAGAAACACCTACAGAGGGTAAACTACAAGAAGTGCATAAATAATTAACAAAAAAACTCAAAATAACACGTAACTATAACTAAAATAAAATATGTATAGATTTATTTGTTATGTAACAGTCTATCGTTGACCAAAATTGCTGAAAAACACTCGAAACGTCAAGTTTTTTTTTCATTTATTTATTTCCTTATTTCCTATTTTTACAGTAACTTAATACTATTACAATAGAAAACTAACGTAAAACATAATATAAACATAACAAGTAAAGCTTAAAAACCTAAACCATTTTATAACTAATTATAAATAATGAAATTCTTGTTTCTATTTGTTTCTTATTTAATGTGACAATCATTTTTTATGAAGTGTATGAAGTCGATTGCAGCTGTCTCATGAAATAAGTGCACATAAATCATGATATCAGTGATCACCACTACGTGAATATAAATAAATAAAATATTTATTCGATTTTAGATCAGTAAAAGATATTTTTAATGTAAATATCTTTAGCAACCAATTCATTAGGTTACCTTTTGACATAGGCCTCTCTTTCATGTGACTTTTATATTTTAGTCTCTCTCTGTTTTCGTCAGACTGTCGAATATATTTGTCTCCCCCTGGATAGAAAAATAATTAAAAGACATTTTATTATTTTGGAAGACACAGACACATTTTTGAATAAAGAACAAAATATTTAATCGTCATTATTTCGTTTTGATTTTGTAAGCTGTTTCTGCACCATTTTCGACGTACCTACTTCTTTTACCCGAATAAATACATGCATGAAGTTGAAAAGATCAGTACTTGTTTATGATCCCTAAGCCTCGGATTCGAGTGGATATAGTAATTTAAAGGTTCTTTATAGTCTTTATCTAATTAGAGGTGCAGTCTAAAATGTCCGCAAAACTATGTACTGGGTTGTATCGAAAATCATAAGGTTTCACTTCCAATTATGGCCAGCAAGGTCGCTAAGGGCGTGTCTTGCATCCGTCACTAGCACTTGACAATGGTGTGTGTCGATTCTATTGTAGCAATTTAATTTTTAAAAACTGTATTTTCATACAAATTATACCCTGTATCTTTTTTGTTGTATAGAGTATACAATGGCATAAATAATCAGGAATGTTTTGGTTCCTCTTGCGAGCGTTTCAAATATAACCAGTCATAAAACCTAAAGAGGCATAAGCAATTAAACACAAGCAAAAAGAGAATTAACTAATAAGGCCGTCATCAGTTTGCTTCGGTTTTTTTGATAATTTTTATTTCAGCCTTCTGTCTGACAAATGTCGTTATGACATGTAGCTCTCCTCACCGTACGAAAGAGCGTTAGATGCGTACATAGACAGAAAGTTGGTAGAGCGGGGGTTCGGACCCACGACCTCAGGCATTAGAGTTGCACGCTGAAGACACTAGGGCAACACTGCTCTTAGAGATCAGACAATTACAAGATATAATACGGATTAATAAATATAGAAAAATAGCTTTAAAGTAGAATAGGATGTACGAGAAAAATTATTCATATTCATCTACGTACAAATTATAACTCAAATTTTCTAAATCTGAACTGGTAGCACTAATTGCCAGTTAAAAATATTCATTTTATAAAAGACCTTCATAATATCTCGGCCATGACCGTTACAATTTAATTACTGTTTTTGAATTTATAATTTAATGAGACAAGGGAAGGAATAATAATTATTTTAAATTACTTGTAGACAATGGAACTTTCTTTGTTATTCGCGGTAATGATTTAAATGAAATTGGGATACAAAAAGTGTATATTTCATTCATGTTAGTGTTGCTTATGCTTGCACGCTACTTCGCAGAACATGATATCTAGTAACTTGTCTGTAAAAACTAACTACCCTAATATTAATTATAAATAATTAAATAAATATTAAAAATGAATAATATATAATAACTAGCTGCCCCCGCGAACTTCGTTTCTCCTTAATGTGATTTTACTTCGCCTACCTTTTTAGTACATACCAACATGGAACATTTTGCTATACTACCCCAGAAACTGTTCGGTTTTCCGGAATCGAAACTTTTTAGGTTGTTCTGTGAATTTTTCTCTATATAAACCTCAGAGTTCATGTCATAAGTTTTTAAATATCAAATAAAAATAGGAATTAATCTTAGAGGGGTGAAAATTAAGGGTTGTATGTATTTTTGTATGCTGTATCATTAAAAAATTATTATCAAAAAAAAAAAAATGTGGGGTGGACACTTATCACTTAGGGGTTTGAAATATAGATAGTAGCCGATTCTTAGGGTGAGATCTATAGTGCGCACTTAGACTTTGCTCTGACTTAACTATCGAGCTAAGACACAGTCGGTATTTATAGAGCAAACTACGAATCTCTCCCTAGTGTTGGCTTAGCTTAATCTCAAGTCCACGAAATCGACGACTTACCAAAAACTTTGACTATAAGCCTAACAAAAATAATGGCCCAAAATTTGCTTTACCATCATATCTTTTACTGGACTTTTTATTTTTGTCGGTTTTTAATGAACGGTGTTGCCATTTTGTATCGGAGTTCCATAGACTTTGGGAAAAATAGAATTTGAATTCAAAGAAATTATAAATGATCTTGATAAATACCTATGAAATGCATGAAATAAAATAATTACACATTATTATGGTATTTATTGTTGTTTATTTATATTATTTATGTAATTGTTCAAACCCCATTTTTGAGAAATCTTAAAAATAACTGGTGTGATTTTGTATGTCACCTGGCAGCCCTGGCAATTGGCATATTATAGTGACAACGAAATTCAAACTATAACCTAACCAAAACATTGCGATCCGTTCTACGTAATAAAATTATTGTCATCTTTAAATAATTAATACATTTTCTAAAGGTTACTCGTGAATTTCTAGTTATTGCAATAATAAAATAAATGAATACATAAATAACAATAAATTGAAGATATATGTGTACCGTTTTAGATTTTTAAATATTTGTTATTGTTAACTTTTTTAAAGGATAATAAACAAAGTATTGCATGAAATGAAACATCAATTTGTATTTTGACATTTTCTGTCTTAGCTTGGGCTTAGCTTAATCTCACCGTTAAAATGTCTATAAATACGAAATCATAGTTTAACCTTAGTGTACACTAAGCAAAGTTTTTCGTAAGGTAAGTCTGAGCAAAGTCCAAGTGCGCACTATAGATCTCACCCTTAGACTTACTGAATATGCATAAAACATTTCATAAGAATCGGTCATGCCGTTTCGGAGGAGTATGGGAACGAACATTGTGACACGAGAATTTTATATTTATAGAGATAAAGTTTCAGGCTTATTACGAAGAAAAGAAAATTCACTTTTAAATCTCGATCTTACACCACTTTTTCATATGCATAATGAAATTTTGTATTTTTATCCTCATACATTCACAGAACAGCAAATACTTTTATGGTATATATGTATGTATAACTGTGCTGTAAGTGTATGACGTCACCCCCAACCATTTCAACCCCACAGTTGTTCTCGACTTCAATCGCCTACATGTAGGCGGGAAGCTTGGTATTAAAAATATATTTAGTAAGTATTCCTGTATTGATTATAGATTTTTAATATATTAAAATGGAAAATGTTTTTAACGTCAAACTTACAAACAACTTTTAAATATGGTTTACAGACTACACTGTCCTCGTTTATCATTATTTTTTTTTAATTCAAGTTAAAATCCGTAAAAGAAATATTAATTAAACTAGTAGGACTAGCGAAAACCGAATATGAGTTTCTTGAAGTGTTTCATATTCTCATTTTTCTAGTAAATCCTCACCTTTTAAATTAAATTAGGGAATTCGTTTATAGCTTTATTTTATCGTAAATTCCCACTACGAAGGCTATATCATTAAAAAGAATGAAAATGGTTAATGGTATGTAATCATATCTGAAGTTGATAGTAGTTCCAACAATTGCATTGACTGTTCACGTATTGTGACACGACCTTGTCCTAAGCCTGAATTACAGCGGTGAAGGCACGCGTGATGCATCATATCTAATCACAGAGTATTATATGACTTCTCATTTTATTATCTTTTAAATAACGTCAGCATAAAACGTGTTATCAAGATATAATTATAACTGTTATTTTGAGTTATTACAAATTGTTTTGTTAACATACCAGTATCTGTTATTATCGAAATCTTAATAGAAGATGAGGCACATTCTAATTGAAGTTATCTTAGTTGAGAATGAAAAGCGTATTCTTTTTTTTATTATAATTAAGTTCCGTTTTACCTTCTCCATGAACAAATTAAATTAAAACGTTCAGTGAATGTGCCAAGTTTGTAGAGTGCGCTAAACGTCGACTCTTGTTAGTGTTGCCAGCTTTCTCGTAGAGACCTTGGCGAGCTCGGCCACTCGCGGGTTCTCCCAGTAATTGCACTATTTTTGTGCCCCTTGTTTTAAACCGCAACTGTTTAAAGTGTTCTTCGCATCTCCACGTTTTAGAATAAAACTTCGTCTGTCAGAAATACGTTTCATCGTTGTTCGTGTTTTGAAATTTGCATTAGTTGGTTTATTATTCGTCTCGCCAATTCTAAGAATAAAAAAAAATAGAACAGCGTGATGCTGTCACGCCTCACTGAGACCTTATTGTCGTAGTTCAAGATCAAATGAATATTCATAAAAAAGCGTTGATGGTCACAATCTTATTACATTTTTAGGTAGACACTCAAATTTAAGAAGAGTACATGTAGCTAATACTGCGAAACTGGCATTTGTCTTATAACAAATTCACTACATAGATAGATATTGAAAATTTAAAATGTTATATTAATTTTATTACAAATCGTATTTAAAATTATTTAAAGCTGTAGTAAGCAACATCTTTACACATGTAATGGCGCTTCTAAACGGGCCATGTTTTGCTGCAATTGATGGCTGCAACACTGTGGCCGGCAACATTGCAAACAATAGCAGCCACACTGCAATATTGCAGTAATGTCCCGGCCATATAGCCAAACATGTTTTGTATAGCCACATATGGCCGATGTTGCCCCGATGGGTTGCCGGACGATCGCTAGGCTATCGAATTCAACTGCAATATTGCACAGCCAGTTCTATTGTTGTTTCAGTCACTCTCTCTTTTATGGCACAGTGTATCCTTTTCTACGCGACATGAAGTTTGCTATGAGTGAAGTGTGCCTGTTGCTATATTCTGTGTTTTGCAATCAGCTGCATTTTGACGTTATGGCGCGTCTAAACGGGCCATGTTTTGCTGCAATTGATGGCTGCACTGTTGGCCACTAATTGCCCGGCCATTACAAAAATATTTTAATGCAGCTGATGGCCGAACAATCTATGGCTGGGCAATGTGTTGCAATAGTATGGCCCATGATGCAGACTCCTAAACGGGCTACACAAACCGGCAACAATGGCTGACGAAATCACACTTGTCGCAGCAGCTTATATTGTTTTAAAAAAGAAACAGAAAAAGAAGAGATTGTGGATTCGACCTTACTTTAATGGCGCGTCTAAACGGGCCATGCTTTGCTGCAATTGATGGCTGCAACACTGTGGCCGGCAACATTGCAAACAATAGCAGCCACACTATGCAATATTGCAGTAATGTCCCGGCCATATAGCCAAACATGTTTTGTATAGCCACATATGGCCGATGTTGCCCCGATAGGTGGCCGGACGATCGCTAGGCTATCGAATTCAACTGCAATATTGCACGGCCAGTTCTCTTGTTGTTTCAGTCACTCTCTTTGTTATGGCATAGTGTATCCTTTTCTACGCGACATGACATTTGCTTTGAGTGAAGTGTGCCTGTTGCTTTATTCTGTGTTTTGCGATCAGCTGTATTTGACGTTAGATTACTACGTAAAAATGACTACTTTTGACATTCTAGTTCTTGAATAATTTATTATCAAGACTTATTTCTAGACTCAAATTGTCTACAGTTTCACGCCTATTTAATTATCCACAATCTCTTCTTTTTCTGTTTCTTTTTTAAAACAATATAAGCTGCTGCGACAAGTGTGATTTCGTCAGCCATTATTGCCGGTTTGTGTAGCCCGTTTGGGAGTCTGCATCATGGGCCATACTATTGCAGACATATTGCAACACATTGCCCAGCCATAGATTGTTCGGCCATCAGCTGCATTAAAATATTTTTGTAATGGCCGGGCAATTAGTGGCCAACAGTGCAGCCATCAATTGCAGCAAAACATGGCTCGTTTAGACGCGCCATAAAACAAACAACGTATACGTAACGATTTTTAGAAAATTAGTGCCTACAAGAACCGAATAGACAATAAAAACTTTGCGACGTTTCAAGTGATGTGAATTCTAAATAAAATCACATTCTTATTCTCCGCGAGTCCTTTTGGATAACGGAAGTGGAGCAATAGAATGCACAGTGGGATGATGTCGATATCTGGCTGTCTAGTTCTAGCATTAATATTAAAGACACAGTTCTGAAATGATTCCCTTTGTTATGAAGTACGCGAATAAAAACAAAGCTTTTTACAAAATTCAAGGATACGACACACATACTCGTAGAGTTGTTTGTGTTTACAGTTCCTGCTAGTCCAGAAGGCTGCGGACCATGCAGTCGGCGTGAGGTGGAGTATTGCGAGACGCGAGTTGTAGCGGACCATTGCTGCTGCGAGCGACGTTACCTGCCTGAACCCTTTCCTTGGCTGCCACACACATGCTACATGGGCCCACACCGCTGTCGCCCTTTGGCGCACGATTGCGTTCGTTACGTACGTTTGCGGGACTGCTGCTGCTACCGCCACTTGGCCCAGCGGTGGAAGGCTATCTTGTCACGTTCCAGCCGGGTCGCAGTGGGTGGCGTATCGCTCTTATTGCTCTCCATGTTATTGTTTGTGGCGTACTTGTGACCCGCGCCCATGCACCCGCCGCCGCTGCCACCCGCGCATGTCTGATCAGCTCCAATTTTATGCCCTTAATTTCACACATAAGAAGGGATTCTAGTGAAATCCAATTCACGACCCAGGAATTAACGCATTTCTCTCAAACAGACGATATATATATGATGTGAATTTATCAACATTATTGATTATTGCATATTGAATTATATTCATCACGCATTTTTAATGTACAAATATTATATAAACATTATTTGAAATACCTGCACGTAAATATTTAATATTAGAACATCTTAATGGTTACATGTGCACCCTTTTAAAAATATATAAGTAGGTGTAATCGGCGCGTAAATGACTGGGGCGAGGTGGGGGACTAGCTCACGAAAGAACAGAAAAAGATCTAAAAACGTATTACGCGTCGTAATGTATAGCTCACATTAAGAATTTACAGAATTAAGATTTTTTTACTTTATAATTAGTACATATAGAACGATTGTGATTCTGCTTTGTGACAGACGTACAAATACATGATATTTTTGTAATGCTATGAAATAGCGACACGTTAATTATATATTGGTTTATTTATTTATCCACTACATTAAGAGGGCTGCGTTTATTTTTTATTTGACAATTGAAACTTTAGTTTTAAGATTGGTTAAATTTTGTATTGTTACGAAACCCAAAGGTGCGTAGTTTTAAGTGATTTACTGTAAATAATTTAAAGAGTTATTTTAGTAGAAGTCTTCTAATACCAAATCAGTATTGTATGATGTAGTGTAGCTTGCACAATTCATAGAACATCTATCAGCAAATTAAATTTAGATGATTTTACGAATTTTAATATTTGTATCGATAAATATTATAAGAGAAATTGCAAGCTTCGTGAATGCACAATTTGTTTTATCCCCGTCAAATGAAAATATAAAAAAATACATAAAACATGTAATTATTATTGTAATTGTATTTAATGTAAAAGAACTGTAATATTACATAAAAAAGTTACCAAAACTGTGTACCTTATTGTATGGCCAAATACATTGACTAGATTTTCACCACATATTTTGCTAGTAAAGTATTTTCAGTCCTTGACAGAAATTTCAACTATAAGTATTATTATAATTTGAAATTGCCGACGATTTAAAATGGAACATAATATAAAAAATAATTTGTGCTCGTTTAAATTAACTCCAGTTAATTGTTTTTCGTCATGCACAATACTAATTGTTTGAAACCTTTGTCACTATTTAATTGTCATGTGATTGTTCACATTAATATATAAACCGTCGAGTTATGAGTACTTCTATGTCAATAAAAAAAAGAATTTTATCTGATGTATATTCTGCGTTGAATGAGAAATTGTAAAGTTATAAAAAATGAGAACTGTGGACCCTGAACTTTGGTTCAAGAGAATTAAGAAGCCATCACGCATGAAAGAGAGATTGCAATTCAATTCTTATCAGGCGTCAAATTTTGAGATAAGACTTCGAACAAGTTTTTCAAAGGCAATGAAGGATTTAGCAAGGAACCTCTCACTCTCAGGAGTTCGACCCGCAATTCATACTAAAATGCCTATCAGGTATGTGTATTTAATGAATTGTCATAGCTGTTATCCGTAGGTAGGTAATCTAGGTATGTTGCTTATAAAAGAGAGTAATAAATTTTGCGTCATTGCTTAAATAGTAGTAGTAAATAATAAGAAGAAGATACTACATATATGCTTATTGCTATAGGTGTCACTTGTACTCGACAGATTCTGATAACGAATCGAATTAAATGTTAATGTAAACGTTCATATAAACGACTTCCAGGTCCATTTTTGTGAGTCTGATAATGTTAGGAGTATTTAGTGGAGTGCTAATAACGTTACTAAATATCTATAAGTTCCGGCATGAGCCTCCACTTTTGGTGAACCAGCAGCCGATGCAGCATCCACAACAGCATGTTGAGTTCCCAGCCGTGGCCCTTTGCAGCTACAATATTATAAGTAAACGCGCGCTACACAACTACGCGAGACGATTGTAAGGACCGGTATCATAACCTCTATTTCTAAAAATAACATGGTAATCTAACAGCACTTAGGGTGGTTACATACTAGCATATTTTTCTGCGCGTATACGGTCGTTTCAGCACACGCGCTTACACGCGCGCTACAGTATGCGCTTCAAAAAACGTGTTTCGGCGTGTTCGCTCGAACCGGTAGTGGCGTAGTGTCAGTATCAACATGGATTCTGACGAAGAAACATTGCTATTTACGTTACTTATACGCCGTCGACTAAGAAAACGAAAAAGATGCTGGGTGTCATCGATGGTTGCATCAAGACAGAAAAAACTATGTGCCAAAAGGCGCGCCTATACGTGCCTACATGCACTTCCAAAAACGAGCTTATACGCGCAAAAAACGCTAGTCTTTAACCACCCTTGAATAATTTAATAATGTTACTGTATATATAAATAATTCAATTACAAGAATTCAAAATGTTAGTGTTTTTGGATCTTATATCGAATATATAATAAGTTTGATGAAATCTATGTCTATGCATTTTTATGAACCTTTAAAATTACTTTTAACAATATTTAAGGGTATCTTTAGATAAAAATGGGACGTTTACGCTTTCTCAAATAGAAGCGAACTTATTGGCGTTTGGTGGCCTTCTGACGAAGTCACTGGAGCCATTCGATCTTCCCTTTATGAAATTTTTGTCCGATGTAGATCATGAAACTAACATCACAAATATTATGCTGAAGGTACATTTTATTCATTTTAATTATTTAACATATGGAAATCTTATCTGAAATAAATGCGTAGTGGTTATGTATCGGATTTAGCTATGCATGTATCACTACTAAAAAAAGGTGCCAGCCCCTATACGCCCAAAATTAATATGCAATCTCCATCCAATTTTAGCAATCTTATGTCGACAATTCAATCAATTTCTAAAGAAAAGCCAATATTAAATCCATGGATTGAATTACCAATCTAATTATTAAACCAATCGTTCAGAGGACGGATCAGAGAATGAAGATTGCCCACTGTATGAAAATGAATGTTTCCACGTGTCAATAACCCATCTATCCATTTTGACAGTTGCTTCGATTGGCCAAATCAATCGCGGATTGGTATCGGTGAAATTCGTAGGATTAAAGTTTGGGATCCCGATCTAACTTATTACTACTATAACATTAGTAACATGTATAATATTTACTCCCCGGTTCAATACGAGGAGACAATACAGGTACAGAATCGCAAGGCAGTTCTAAGCGACCGATGCATAAGATGCATTTAAAGGTCTTTTGATGTCTTCATTTATGCTGTGAAGTGTATTAGTAAAAATATTGGCAGGCGCTTACTCGCTAATTGGGATATCCACTTAAACCTATGATAAAAAACGTCAGATTATTACTAATTATCTGGAAACGATAGAAGCGATTAAATACTATTTGTGTCCAGCTTTCGCCGACATGTGAGTCAAGACTCGAGAAGTGCTCCTGGAAAGCTAAACCTGTACCATGTCACTTACTGTTTGCAACCCGTATCACTGGTAGCGGCTTTTGTTGCGTCATGAATGCCAGATACAGGTTGGTTTACATGCTAATTCAAAGAATTCCGATATTATTGTTTCTTCAAATGTTTTTGAAGTTATATTTCTTTTGGCGCGTTAGGGGAATATGTACATTACAGTACATTTTCACGATGCGCACGCACACCGTCACAAAAAAACGACACCCGCACACCGTCACAAAAAAACCGACACCGAAAGAAAAATGCAATTGAAACGTCCCTCTAAAGTGTTCGAAGAAAATTATTACGCCAAAGAAGTATAAATTCAAACGCGTGTACATAAGTACACACACGTTTTTTTATTTAGCCCAGAAGACAAAAAGAGAGAGGCCAAGAAAGTGAACTTTGTGGGAGAAGATCATAGTCTTATTGTTGCCGTGAAAGAAGATATTGAAGACGTCGCTTTTGTTCGCCGACCTTGCCATGATGTTGAGGTTTAAACTGAGCATTACCAACAATACTACGTAGATCAAATTGTTCGTGAAAAGTTCTATAATAATAAAAATTAATATTTTTTACGTAGGTTACTCTGTTTGACGGCATGCAATATCCTCTAACAGAAGTTAGCGGAGTCCACTCGTATCCTGCTCGCTTTAACTCCTCAGTTTATTTGAAATTACATTTTGAGTCACAGTATATCAGCCGTCAATTGATGTATCACAGTGAAGCGTGGGTACGTACATCCGAATTATTTGTTCTATTTTTTAGTTATTATATAAATGATAATTTGTTTTCTCGTCGATATTATAGCGCGGATGCCGTGTGTCAGACCACGGCTGGACTCGCAATGAAGTTGCATGCATTTTGCAGTGCCGCCGCAATGCTACATTGGCACTCTGCTCGTGCGTGCCCTACACTCTTCAGCCAGAACCTCATCACAAAGTTTGTTCACCAGAGCATCTTGGTTGCCTTAATAAACATAAGAGTAAATGCACTGAAAGCACTTATTATATAGGGTGGCCAAAAAGTCGTGGATCAAACGCAAGTAGAAGATAGATGAGGTCATCAGCTGCCAAAAATTATTCTACGGGAGGTCTCTAAGGTCAATCCCTGCAGAGTTATAATTCATTTTGCGTTTTTATAAGAAATTTGACTTTTTTACTAATTCTTATTAAAATTCGAAAAAATCTACATCCTGTATCTTTTCATAATATCCATTAGATTGGTACTGATGAGTTCTTGCGTTAGACATACTATTTATAGTTGTTTATTGAGTGTATTGAAGATAATATTAAGTTATAAATTTTTTTCAAATCATAACTTTTTGTTTACTACGGACCCCACTGTGAAAAAAATTTAATCTACCGAAAAGTGACTCTGTATTATAAGTTTTGGAGCATTTAATAGGGATTCTGAAAAGGTATTACATGGCCATGAGCCCAATTTTTTGCAGCTGATGACCTCAGCTATCCCCTATTTGCGTTTGATCCACGACTTTTTGACCAACCTGTATATATTATTTTCTATTGCATTTGAGTGGAGAAATGACGTTAGCCCATTTCTCGGTTGCTTACAGACAAGCTTACATACTTTAAACCGACTGGTCATGGTGCAAATCACGTGAGCCTGGAGAAAGAGCGGTCGGATGGTGTACTATGTTCGCAATGCCAGCCTGACTGTACAGGGCTAGTATACTTTGCGGAATCATCGCACGTCCATTATAATATCGCCCCCATGGACAAAATTTTCTTAAACAAACTACTGTAAGTTTTATGGTCAATTGTAGTTCAAATCTTATATGATTTATAAACTGGTTGCTTGGGTAGTAATATTTGTGGTAGTCCACAAATTACCACAATCACAAGGTAATGCTTGTTAAAATTGTTTCGTTGTAATAATTATTATGGAATTTATTTACAGGCATGGCATTAACCGGAACTCAACGGTTATTCGAATTTTCTATGCATCGGAGGAAAATCAGATCTTTTACCTGCTAGAAACCAATCTGCGATTCTTTGAAGATATTGGTTTGAAAAATATTTTTCATATACATACTATAATGAATAACAATTCATATAAAACCTTTACTAACAATTCAGTTTGAAACATTTGTTGTAAAAAATATTTAAAACTAAAAAACAATAATTAATTAAAAAAAAGCAATTAGCATAATCTTTTCATATTTGACAGCGCTTATGGGTAGCCACTGGATTCTGCTAAGCGGCGGAAGTATATTAATTGTTACATTTGAAGTTATCTACCACTGCACCATCAGATGGCGCCACCACCACAGACGGACATAACTATTTCATAACACAGCACAGGTCAAGGTAAAAGTACAAATTATGTTCAAATACCATTTTAATGCTTAGGTCAAGTGCTGTAGCTAATAATTCAAGATCATGTTATTGATTTATTTCTTATTTTTATTTTACATGATCGGTGCAGAAACAGATTGAGTGAATACATATTGTTACTACAAACTAAACAACATTAACTGAAGTCCAAATAAACCAGTACACAGCATTACAGTGGCATCTTCAGTGCTGTTTTACTAAACATTAACTAACAGTAATTAATAGTAATACTTTATACATTATTACATACAGTATACATATATTATTTAATGAAAAAATAGAAGTTATTCAGGTTGCAGGTCTTCACCGCGAATAATATTTTTAAATTCATAAATCTATTGAGAAAAATATGAACATGAGAACACATTGTGGGATAATTATGTAAGCGATTTATAAAGCTATAGATTTTGTCATCATTACTATAATGAACAGTATTACTATAGTTAATTTGATATCCTTAATTAAATTGAACAGGATCACTTGGCACATCAGTGACTACGTGTGGTGAAGCTGGCGCAGTCGTGGGCCTGTGTGCTGGATTGTCACCGATGATTGCTGGAATCACCTAAAAAGAAGATGAATATTTATATACTATTTATTAGAATTTTGTGTTAAACTTTTTGAAGTTTTAGTCAAATTCCTTCTTTATTCAATAAAATGCTGTATTTTATGTATGACTTATTTGTGTGGTGTGAATGTAAAGACTAGAACCAACAGCGAAAATGCCGAAACTATATTCCGAAATCTCATTTCATATATAATTGTGTTCAAAAGTCGTACAGGATTAATTAGCGTAAAGACATCATCTATCTCTTAGCCATAATGAGAGAGAATAAACATTACAAAGCGGGCATAAATTTATGAATTCTACAAAATACGTATCCTCTACTCCGGTACCTGTTCTCCGATCGTGGCAAGGAGTTGGGCGACTCTTTTAATAGCCTCTAGTTCTTGAGGACCGGGCAACGGTAGACGCGGCTCCAATTGCCGTGCTTCCAAGTGCTTCATCGCTTCCATTTGTCTTGCCTCAAAAGCCTCCAGACGAGGCACAAGTCCTTGCCCTAATCCCGAACCAAATTTCTCTACTTCGTGCAGCTAAAACAAGGGAAAGGGATGTTTAAGGTACCAAAATATGTCTGTCATGAAATATAATGTTATATATCGTAATGTTTTGTGGAAAACTATTTTTATTTAAAAAAAAAATCTTCGTACTGGACAATTGCGTGCCTGACTGGTGAGATTGAAGAAAAATAAGCAATAATATAACTTCTCAAACATTGTTGTGAACAAATGGAATTATTTTCTTTGCTACTTCTTTTATACGTAAGTATCGTGTAATAGCATAATGGCCAACTATATTTATTAAATAGGCTTCGTCTGTCTAAAAATGAGGAAAAATTTCTGGTATCCGAAATATTAGATTTGAGTACGTTTAAAGTAAAAACATCGTTCAATATTTATAATTTACTAGCAGACCGGCCAAGCGTTGGTGTGGCTAAGGTTTTTGTTATATTACATAGTAGCAAACTATTCAAGGGAAACGGTAGGAGAACACCAGTCATGGGACCACCATGCTTTTTTGGTGGTTATGTCATTAAATTGTAGCTTATGTGAAACGTTGGTACTTTCAACACAGCGCCATCTGTGAGAATTGTGACTATCAAATAAAAAACAAATATTTTGCAATAAAATAATATTGCGGGTATAAATTGAGATGTAAGCTATCCTATCTTTTAAGTTGGATCAAACTACACACGGTGTGCAAATTTGATTGATATCGGTTTGGTAGTTAAGGAGTTCATAGCGGACAAACAACGTGACACGTAATTTATATATATTAAGATTACTGACAGTTCTATACGATGGCTACAATTCCATACATATAGAACAAAACAAAAGATTTCTGTCAATATTAACATGTTAGAAAAACGGATATTCAAGATAAGTATATAATTAGAAATCTTCGCCTGAAGTATATCAATCTACTTGATATTCAATCTAGATGGGAACATCTAAGATATCATGTACATTGTACATATATTAAATAATCTGTAATTTGTTTATTTTATTCTAAACGGACCCAGGTTGACGTTGAGTCTTTATATATCGTGTCGATGTCAATCAATTTGAAAAGCGGTCGTCATCAAGTTTCCATTCATATGAATATTTCAGCCAATTTTGTGGTTAGTATCAATAAATATTAAACAATTGTATAACAATAGCAATTGTAGAACACACATCAACAGAAAATTGCTTCATTTATGCTACATATATTTTTATATATTATGTTAGAAATGAATTTCACGTCGACTCTCAAAAGGTCGTGCGTTTAAATCACTTTTGCATTTAAAACCTTCATTTACGATGGTAAACATAAATATTAGGAAACTGGTATGTCTTAGACACTAGAACAACGGCAAGTGTAACGCAGAATCCTGAACACCCACTTATTTCTTAAAATAAAAATGATTAAAGGAACAGATGAAATCAGAGAATGAAACCCATAGGTATAGGGTTGTAGCGCCTATGTACCAAATAACTTAGATTATGAAAACTGGCTGCCAGTTTTCATGTACTTTTTTCATCATACTTCGTCTGCAACTCACATGACAAAAACACTTGAATGATAGTTGTTATAAATGTTATAGTAACCACGACTTTTGTGTTAATTCCTATTCCTTTCAATTTTTATTTCAAGTTTACATCTTACCAATACAGTTGTCCCGACACTACTTGTGGTAGATGCGCTACCCAAAAAAACTCAGCAAAACATCAACTGTTCACTTTCTACTCCTTAGATTGGAGATTTTTATATGTATAGTCTGGGTAAAAATAGGATTATAAACTAATTCATTAAAACATAAATCAGTCCTGTTGCATCGTTCTAACTTTTCTTCATTCTTTACTTGTGTTATAAAAACAACCAGTGGCGCTACAAACTTTTAAGGTTTTCAGTATGTGGCCTGTATGTGTATCATTATTTCGGCCTTCTGTGCCGCCTCTGACATACGTCGTCGACTTTTTGAGTCTAAGGCATGCCAACCAGTGTTAAATGGGCACATAGACACAAAATCGAACCAACAATGATGAGAGTCGCACGTTGAAGTTAGGCCAACACTATTTCCCTTTTCCAAATAGACAAAATACTACACACACAATACATACTTATACTAATACAATACAAGTTTTAATAAATAGCTGTACCTAAGACGAGTTATACCCATTCTCATAATAGTATTCATTATATGAGCTTAAATTAGCAAGATGTTTCTGTTTTCCTAATTTATATGTTCAATCAATTCCCTTTGCGTCGAGCTAATAATTATGATAATAATTTAGAAGTACAACCAAAACCAAACCTACAATAATTTCCGTTTCTTTTGTCTGATTTAATTACCACGCACGTAGACTAAGTTGCTTCTATCAATAATTTTGTGTAACACGCAATACTCAATAAGATTTTTTTACTTGATACAATACAATTTTTATACGATACCTTAGAATCGTATGTTTCCCGGCAAATAAGATAGAGTGAGAGATACAATCAGTGAGAAAAGGAACAATTTAATGGAAAAATAACATCAACAATCTCCCAGCAGGCAAAATCTGGCGTAGTTACAAGGTGAGAGTTTACATGCATTAGACTACAGCTAACCAACAACGACCTCGTGATGAAGTACATCAAACAATGCATACATTACTTTACATTCTTCTCGAATTATTTACTTCAATGTCAGGTTTCTGTGTTCGACTCTCGTGATTGTTTAGCACGTTTAGTGATTTGAAGCTGGACGTAACTTAGAGATTACTCGTACATGCCTTTGTACGTGCATTTGCGAGCTAATGTTATCGTTGGCCACTTTAGCTTTCATAATACAGCTAATGAGATATGTATAATCTCTGCGATTACTACTTCAAATTTAACCATCCATGACCATCGATCCGGACCACGTGTGTTCGTGAGTTCTTGTGTGTGTTATAGACCTAAACGCAAGTACCTAGGTTTTTCCTAAATTGACGCATGACAAAGCGAATAAAGTGTGACATCGACCAGCCTTGCGATTCTGTAACTAACTTTTCGAACTCACACAGCGGTTTTCACAGCGGCGGTCGCGCTCAAATCAGTCGTAAAGCAGTCATTTTACGATGTGGCATTCTGATAAACAATAAACTACAAGCTCCCAGGTTCGAAAAGTGAGTTACAGAATCGCAAGTCTGATGCCAATATAAAGAGACAAGCAAAGGAAAAATTCAATTATGTTCTTCATATTTAAATGCTTTTGAATTTTCCCGATGGCATACATCTCGTGAGGTACTAGACTCATCTAACCGATTTGACCCTCACAATCTCGCCAAAAACCGATAGTAAGATTCACGATATGGTAATAAATTTATCGACATTGAACCTCAACAAGAAAGTCAACAATACCGTTACCTCATCGTCCTCACGCACACTTCAATACTGAAGAGATACTATAACTTATTAAAGGTGTGTTGTGATTTCACAACAAATTATCTTAAACACTAAACTAACTTCTATAAAGGACTATTGAATTGTCATTAATGCTGGTCTTATGTGGAATCTAGTACTTCATATTCCGGTTCCGGTTCTGTAAAATAAATCTCTTATACGTAATATTTAAGTACCGCCTCCACGGTTTTGCAAATATGGCATATAACCTCGAAGTCTTGGAATGGATTCCCGCCGAAACATTTTCGTGCCAGCTTGTACACACTGAAGGCTACTCATCTACTTGACTAAAGAAAAAGATCAATGTAACAGTTTTAAAAATGTGTGCCCGATGCGCCGTTACGGGAATTCAAAGAACTGGTGAATGGTTACCCAAAAATGTCTCTCAATTTTGTGGGCGCGGTCTGTCAGTTTTTTCGCCGATTAACTGGATTCTTGATAAATTACGAGATGCATCAAAAGGCCCTCCGGCTCTCGTGGAGCAATATAATTTATCTATCGAGGCCAATAACAGATACCATCGAAATTAACCGACCCAATAACAATTGGTATTTTTAATAAAAAAGTGCCTAATCATTATAGAATATGATACTAAAACTAAATTCATTAGTTAAAATATATCTAAAAAATAAATATACATATTTCATTTAATAGCACCATCATTTCACGGAACTATTTTTTGCTTTAAGATTTTTTATTTTATATTGTTACTACTGTCCGGCAAACTTTTGCATGATTAAATAATAAAAATATAATATCAAATAAAAACAGAAAAAATTTTAATTTTAATTTAGGGGATGAAAAATAGATGTTGTCCGTCTAGATTATAGACAATAAGTATACAATGTGAAACCTGTTTTATAATTACGTATACTTTAGTTAAATAATAAAATTAATAAAAAAATTTTTTAAAATAAATAGCCTCGTTTTTAAATAAGTTACGTTCCTTCAGTCATTAATTATGTTTAATTTGTTGGTGTTAACTTATCTCATAACTTCCGTAGTCCTTCCGTTTCCAATTTTTAGGACTAGGTACATGTTCGTACCTCATACATAACGGGATAGAGACCGTACCTCATTATAGAGACGGGATTTTATTATAGAGTGCATATTATTAGTCATTCAAAAGGATATGAGACGCTATCAAGGCTTTTGCATCTAAGTTGGTAATTCAATAGGAAGAGTTAATTTATATGTAACTGTTAACCTCATATTACATGTTTAGCTACAAAACACGTTTTGATGTTAAGGAAGTGCATCTACAGCCTTGTGTTGAGATTTATAACAATTAATTAACTACATATTAGCGGAAATATATTTTTCAAATTTTTTGCTTAATACGTCACATTGATTTATTACATTAAAAAGTTAAACTTAAAAAACTTACCCGAAACTAAATTTTTAAGTTAAACTTTTTATACTTGTAACCTCCAAATCTATTATATTATATTATATTATATTATATTATATTATATTATATTATATTATATTATATTATATTATATTATATTATATTATATTATATTATATTATATTATATTATATTATATTATATTATATTATATTATATTATATTATATTATATTATATTATATTATATTATATTATATTATATTATATTATATTATATTATATTATATTATATTATATTATCTATCTATCATCTAGTAACAATAATTGAAATTGTATATTTAATATGTTTACCGGATTGAAGTGTATTATTCCACTTATTTAAATAGTCTTATCTGAATAAAAGATGAGCCTATCGCCTTTATTATAATAAAACTCACACAACAACAATGTTCTGTAGTGGACAAAGTTTTTAGATTTTTATTCTAAAGTAAAGTTAAGCTTATCAAGATAGGAACGAGGCTAAGCTAACAATGCGCGATTTCGATTTATTCTGTTATCATTACTACTTAAATTCACATTCACAGAATTGAACAATTTAATCTAATTAATTAACAAAATCATTGAATTCTGCAACAAATTTTAAATATGAATAAGTAAAATAATTAAACACTATTAACTTTTTTCTTTTAAAAAATGCTACGGTAGGCCCAAAGACTTAAATATAAATAATAAGTCTGTATATATATACGTAAATAGGCGGGGACAGATTCTGCCCTACTGATCCCGGGATAATTTAGTCTTGGTGGGGCATTTGTCGGGTCAGACTATTAGTATTATAATAGCACTGTGTGTACTGACTTATTTCAAAAGAAATTAGGCGCTGTAGCAGAATCGGTAACTATTAAACTAGCGACTGGTTCCTACTTCGCACGGTTGGATTGTTTAAAAATTTTTGAAATAAATACACTACCTATGTTATTTCGGGATAACGTAGCTTTAATGGTGTAAACATTTTCAAAATTGGTTTACTATTATAGGAGTTTTTTCGTTTTGTTGAAATAATCTTTTTAAAAACAAAATGATTTATTACATAAGTTAGTAATTAAGAAACAGAGGTGTAACCTTAATGGATACTGACAATCGACTAACCCTGCTCCCACTTGATATGCTTATATGCGTTCCTTTTAATTACTTAGCATCTTAGTTAGTCAAGAGTACAAGAGTCAAGAGTAGGTATAACAGTTCCAAACACAAATCGCTCTTTATATTAATAGAGTAAATGCAACAAAATTAATAATCTCTTACAATGGTCTAATATGATGATGATGTGTGATGCGATAACGACGAACCCCTTCTATTCCGATAAGTCACGTCATTCGCCATCGTATGTGAAGATCAAGGGCGGCTGCTGGCGAGCCAATGTCAGAGAACGAGCCGCGCGAGGCGCACGGATGCGCAAGCGTTAGCAACCATGTTCGTGCTTGTTGCAGCAGTGACGCTGGTGGTGCCGGCCGTGGCTTTGCTGCCACCCCGTCTGCTGTCCACCACAGTCGACGAACTCGTTAAGGCAGCTTCTAATACCTGTGCGTTCTTTATGTTTCTTGGCTTGTGCAATAATTAGTGAAGTGTTATCAGAGAAACTCGACTCTTTCCATCAGCGGGTAAGACCGCTGTATTTAATATAAGTATTGCAGTAGATAATTCGATGTTTGAAATATTATATGTTGCATCTTAAACAAAGTTCGTAAACGCGTGTTATTTGGAGGGTTTTTCCCAGATACTAAAAACATCAAAATAACAAAAAAAATCCAAACTAATGAGAATTTAAATACCATTTCATTTCAATAATTAAATCATATTACTCTTATTCAAACGTAGATATATATTTGCAATGTAGGTAGATTCAAACAAATGTAGCACTGATCAATTAGTGATTAAGTGTCACTGATTGTGTAGGCAATATTGCAATGTTTATGTAAACAATTTGTGCTAAGTTTATGTTATATTACACTATAGTGAGTTCATTTAAATTACATGTTAATTGAATGTTCACATGTCAAGATGATTACGTGTAAAACAACAACACAAACAACAAAAGACAACGTTTATTTTTATTTATTTATTTTATTCCATATCATTATTCTATCTTTACAGTAATTACTAATTCGATAGAACGACACAATATTTATACCCACACCAATTATCCTAGATAAAAAACATTTAAAAAAATATATTTATATACCTAAATCTTATAACTTATAATATAGGAAGCAACTCTTGTGAACTCAGCCAGTGTACAAACAAATAGGTCTACCTTAACAGAAATTCTATTTATTATATGTATTACGTTACTTAATTATATTTTTAAAATACTGAATTAAAACACGTTTCGCTTAGACTTAGATGTATTTTGACTTTAAAGCGTCTCTATATCTAACAATTGCAGTGACTATAATATAAGAACAAAGACATTTTTTTAAAACAGTATGAAATTCTTAACAGTTTAATAATTTTGAATTCTATCAAAATACATTTTACTTATGACTATAACGATATAAGTATATATTATATATATCTTTTATCCATAATGTTTAAAAGTTAGTGTGGTTGCATTTGCAATGGGAATTAAATACAACTACTTACGACATACATAATAATTAAACAGCCAACAGCAGCGAATCAGCAATTACTGATGGGAAACGTTATATTATCCTCTTCCTACATCTTCATTAAAACCCAAACAACACGGCATTAGGTGTGATTTGTGTTCATACTCACGTCCAAATAGGTTTATTCCACCTTATAAAATAAATAAAATCTCAATAAAAAACACATTTAGGTTGAACGTGGGGTACCTCCCAAATGAGTTATACGAAATACTGTTTTGTTTCCGAAGAATCAAGTATTTGCTTTATTCAATATAAGCGTTGTACGTGCTATATTGTCCGGATTATAATGATTTCAAATGCTTTCAGGTGAGTCGCTCCCGCTGGACGCGCTAGCATCTGGACAGATTATTCCTGAACTAAAGTTCTTCGAATTTACGCAAACAGGGAAGAGAAAGTACTTAGTGTCGAAAGCACACACCAGGGGTTTTAGTCCTTCTTCGCAGCTAATAATATACATCCCGGGCTGGTGGAACACCCCCACAGATGAATCCTCCGACGCACTCGTCAAAGCTTTACTGATCAAGAACCCAACAGTACTCATAATCGACACAAGATCATCCTTCAGAAGAGGATACGTGTCCTCAGCTCTTCAAGTTAATGGGATAGCTCGTCGACTGTTCAACTTCCTTCAAAACCTTCATTTTCAGGGCTATCCGATATCTAGAATACATTTAGTAGGATTTAGTTTAGGTGCACATGTAGCTGGCATAACGGGGAGGCTAGTTCAACAGAAATTACATAATCGTCTGCAGAGGATTACTGCGTTAGACCCGGCAAGACCGTGTTTCATGAAGCCTTCCAAGTACAGGCTAAAGAAGGAAGATGCGAGTTTCGTCTACGTTCTGCATACGAGCTCTGGCGTCGTTGGTCTAGAGGAACCTATTGGTCATGTGGATGTCTATGTTAACGGCATCACCTCAAATCAACCCGAGTGCAAGGAACGTGCAATTACGCTAGAATGCGATCACGCGCTGTCGTGGAAACTTTACGCCGTGTCAGTCAAGAACGATAGCTTACTAATCGGAAGTGAATGTGTAACATGGAACGAGCTCAGAAATAGGAAATGTAGTGGTGACAGAACTAATGTAGGCTATGGTTGCTCGTCGCAAACAAGAGGCCTGTATCTTTATACAACTCAGGAGGAAAGTAGGAGACTCAAGGTCTTTAATCCTTTCGATATAAAAACATGGTTTAATAGATAACATTTCTTTGCTGTAGTTTATTAGGTGTAAGCAAGTAATCGGTAATTTGAAATGTATGTATGTAGGTAAGAAAAGTGGCACTCATAACGGATTAGAGATCTTCATTCCGAAAGACTCACCTACATGCCCATTGGTTTACAGTATAGCCTGATTTTTTATTAGTTTCTAGTTTATATGAATAAAACAAACGTGCTTCTCGGCATTTCTAATTAGCAATAACTGTAATGAGTTTATACTTTTACAAATAAATTACCATTATTGCTTCCGAACACGTACGATAAGAAACGGTATATTAATATGAATTGTTCAATTAATTTTGACCGTATTACAATTATATGGATAGTTTTTTTTATGAATCCTACAGATTTATATTCAATAATTCCTATTGGTCATATGAAACTGTATAAATATATTTCGTAAAGTTGTGGCTGTGATAATAATTATTGAGTACTTCGATTTAAAATTTAATCGCTAACGAATTAAATAAATATTACTTTAAAAATTCTATTACTTTCTGTTATTAAAACATTACATTATGTAAATTAATTGTTTATGAAATCCCATAATACTACTGACTAAAGCGCCATCTATTTAAAAAAAAGGTCACCACCATTACAGAAACAGTTTTGTTGATCAAATATTTTTTGGTGATTTTCCAGGTTTTACCCATAGAAAATTTATATTACATAGTTTACTATGTAGCAATTCAGTATTTATCAGTCTCACGAGTATTGTGCACAATGATGAAGTTAAGTTTCTATACTAGATATGTATTTAAAAACAGTTAAAGTATTTTAGCCCGTTTATATATTATTTATAACGCCATCTATACAATACACGCAAAACCACCGCTGTAACGTAATAGTACACGGTACATCATTCTTACAATTTACTAGCGTGTTCATATAATAAACACAGATGGCGGTAGTAATCTAAGAAAGACTTACTGCCAATTTAGATAATTATTTTAATTTTAATATTATTTGGCACCTGTTAATATTTATGCCACATAACTTTTAAGTACTTTGATTTAGATAAATTTGAAGCACATTTCGTATTGAAATCATTGCATATGACTACTGGGTGCATTGATAGAAGCACCTGCCAGCTCTAAAGTATTCATGGGGCAATATAATAATCGAGAAGCTAGTAGGCAGATAAACAAAATACTCCAAATATATGTGGGTTTTAAGTGACTGTTTTTATTAGTAATTCTTTCTTCATGGCACGTAGATTTTAACATAAAATTTTTAACCCGATAAGTCCTGTTTTGATTCTGTATAACAATACACACTATGTTCTAAGTATTAAACGTAAAAATAATTATCTAAATGAAAAATATATTAAACAGAACCTTTTTACACCCACAAACTATTTTCATAAAAATAAGAATGGTAATTATACCGTAGCTTTCACACCGGTTTCATATTTTAACAGAAGTTTTTTTCACAGAACCATTATAATTAATAGCTGCGTAGAATTCGATACCGTTGTGAAGTGAGCACAAAGGATATTGGCTGTGAGCTGTGGGGAAGGTTTTTAATGATAAGCGGGCTGTGGGCTGCGGCCTGCCTGAATAGAGCAGAACGCCGCTCAGTGAGTAGGCACTTGAGCACTGCCCGATTATACGCCTGGCACCAAACTGTGTATGCTGAGCAAAAGCCATTGATTTTATATAAAAATAGGGTTGAGCCTTTGATTTTCGATTAAGTATTAGAACTATGGTTGAATATCAAATCACGCTATGTTTCCCTTACAGCCTACATTAACGCATGGTATCCCTTAAAATTAATTCTTATACAGCTGAATGGCGACTTCGTTCATTCATAGTCAGATTTAATTCCATTGAATCGGTGGGTGCCTATTTAATTATTATGATAAATAATCGTAAAATGAGATTGTATGTTTAAAATACCCAATTATTTAAAAGCTCGTATTTTACAGATAATTAATGAAACAATTACAATCCAGTCGCAAGTGTATAGAAGCTTACGTCGACGTCATTGTACGCCGATGGATAATGTTCAGAGTTGGTGTGCGCCCGACAGCAGATTAATGATGCGGCTCGGGGCGTGCCAGCGCTGCTTCTTCCAGCAATTTCAAATCAAAATATAGTGGGAAAAGTCTAAGGAAATAATAGCCAAAAGTTTTATCATAATTAAAAATTGCTATTTATGTAAATATTCAATTTACAAATATTATTATTTCGTTATTATAAGTTAATAAGTATAAATGGACAAATGCATCTTTAGATATTAACATTCCATTAATTTGAATATCATGTAAAAGCAAAAAAATATCATGTGAAGAAACAATTTTATGCGCCTAATAACCTGAAATTATGTGTTATATAATATTATATAAAACTATGTATATATTTAATATGAATAGTAGCGGACACAAAAGTAACTAATTCCTGGTTTTAAATAGCTTTTTTAATTGCACTATTCAACTCAGCTTAAAGCTCTGCGCACCTGCAATTATGTCACAAAATATGTGCATCTATTCATGAGTAGAATACTCCCCTTCCAATTAATATAAGCGGGTTACATTCACCCTCTACTTATTTACAGAAATTGATTTAATAAGGACTTGCAAAATTATTGTCCCTTTAGAACTTGTTATAAACCACGAGGTACTTGTCTGTGAAAAATCCTAAATAAAATCAGTACTAAAACTTCGTATTAGCGAATATTTGCATCAATTATTTCTCATTTGTTTTATTGTATATCTATTTATAATTATTGTATATTATATTATACTTAAGTGATTAATTATAGTTCACATTTGCAAATAGAGCAGTTTATGCGATTAATAAAAGGATTTTTAAAATCGGAAAATCGATTAAAGTTTACACACGATAGAAGCTGTATTTGCAGTTGATAAGCACCAAACCTAATACGTTCCTCTTAATAATTCGGTTTAATTACATAACGTGAATGTAGTATTGTCTTTTATTGACATAACTTTTACACATTTAATAAAACAATTTTTAACCGTTCACCGTGACCACGCACGCTGTAAAGCACGCGAAACGTCGGTTATATTTAAAATTATGAAAAATAATTGTAAATACATAACTTCAATCCGGTTAAAAATTGTTTTATTAAACGTGTATATAATGATATATTATGTTTAGTGACCGTTTTGTATTGAAAGGATAAGGGAGGCAACTCGGAGCGGAAGGAGCTCTACATAATGCATGTTGACGATGATAAACGAGCACCTTATCACCATCTCTACACTTTGTCAACCGACTGCTCTGTCGGAAACAGATCTACCGTTATTGATCACCGTTACTGAACCTGACTTTGCTTATATAAGACAAAAAACCTCGGAAATACCAAAAGCAAAACATCTTTTGTTTCTATATGCATACTTCTATATTGAGTGCGAAATCTTCAAACAGGCCGCCAGGATTTTAGCTGAATCATCAAAGTTGCCGCCGAGACTGAAGTAATTATTGATTGTAAATTTAACGGCTCGTTAAATCTAGTAAGTCCATAATTCGCTTTAACAATAACCCTTGTTTATATTTTTTTATTATAACAATTGTGACATTCGGACGCGGCTGGTTGGTAATTGCCGGGCCCTTTGAGACCGAACATCGCATGGGGTAGGTAACTGAGATAAGGCTGAGAGCACACGGCTTAGATTTGATAAGCCCTTTTCTAACATCTGAGAAGGGTTTGAGGGCCTAATAAATCCTACATAAATATCCAATTTCGGCCGACGGTAAACTGGGTATTAAAATAAATTAAAACTGTTAACAAAGGAATATTTTCCTAAAAACAAAATTGTTTTACTGTATTATAAGAATTTGAGGTAGTAATACAAATTAGTTTAGTGTACAAAGTAATTTATTTTTAAATATTCAATTATTTCGAATAAATAGTCGCCTTTATAAAATATTACGTACTAAAGTTAGTGTTGTTTAAGGAGTTTTTTTTAACCACGATCTTATAATATTTTAATCGCACGAATCAGTTGATGGATATAAATTATTTAAAAAAGTGAGAATTCGTTATGTGAACTCTACTTTATGCCACGGGCATGGCACTGACTCAATTATATTTTGAAGCACGTTTCAGCATTTCAAATTTTATATCACAGTCGCTGTATTGTGTCCGGGGGGCCGAGATGGGGGGGACGCGGGAAAGGGGCATTCACTAGAGATCTCTTCAAATTATATTAAACGACTTTTACGGCTCCATTCGAGGGATTCTTTTATTTTTTTAGGGCGTTCCGTACTTTGAAGTAGCTGTAGTGTCTATAAATTGGATATGTGCAGGGGACACGAGATGTTTCGTGAAATCGATTTTTAATTGGATTACCTACATTTGCGAAGAAGTTTACAATTTCGCCCTCCTGATAGACTAAGGAAATGCATTAATCGATTTTGTAATGAATATTAATCCTGACAAATGTATAGGGCAACATTTTAATTATCTTTAATTCAATTTAAAAAATACTTAGTTCCATTATCTAAGCTCCATCTTATCCCACAGCAAAAGGGAATAAAATTATCCTGTCGCAACAACGCGACCCTTTCAGCCAACAATAATAAAAGATAACCGTCCCATTTGCCTGTTTGTTCTGTTCCTACTCAGCACCCTTCAACCGGCTCATGGCGCCCTCTAGCAAAACTTTAGTTTGTTTAATTAGCAATTAAATTATAAAAGTTTATATAATCATGAAATTCAATTTCTCTTTAAAAACATGCTAACGAAATATTAAAATCAATAGACAATTAAAATTACACTAATAGATACAATTTACTTATCTTGGAATTACTATAATTATATGAACACTACAGATAGAACAAGGCAGACATCATTAGAGGCCGAACATAGTTCAAACTACAAATGTGGGGTAAAATATAATTACTAGTTGCTTGTCTTCAAATAATGAGCGTGAGTTGTATGATATTGTTAGAGCAGCAATACTGTTATTAGTGAAAGAGCTGGTGAATGTAACTAATTATACAGATAAGCGTGCGG